AACATTTCTTATATGAGATTTAAGTTTTTCAAAGATTTGGGAACAAGTTATAGGCTAAACGAAGCAAAAAGAATTTCAAGCTTCATTTTTTTGTCACTATTCCTATTGTCCCCTACAATAGGATGACTAATTCGTTACCTCTAACGAGTCCTTAAACCAAAGGAATGTACGGTAGTCAAAAAGTTACCATGGAAAGGTCATTCATGATAGTCAAATGCCCCCAATTGATGATAATTGTTGGATTAAAGCCAGGGAACTAATCGGTCCTCCTTCTATGATCCCCGTCTCCATTGAACAATTATTACAAATACTGATCAATAGTCGAAGCTCATTGTCTAAAGCTTGAGATGTCACGGAAAATAGTAGAAATCAAGAAAAGATTATTTGAGTATTTTTGGGATGCTCTAAATTGCTTCCATGTTTGTGTCATAAATTCTCTATTTTTTAAATTTTTTGGTTGAACTTATAACTGTTTACTAAAAATTTAACTGAATAACTTATTAAAAACATTTACTAAAACATTTCGAATAAAACTTCGCTAAAACTAAACTAAAAGTGGCATGTTATTGTAATCGTACTAATGACTTGTTTACATTATTATACATATATATATAGTCATTAACAAACTATATTAACTATTTAATTTAAAATTTATTAATAAGTTATATTATTTGTCCATAATAGTAGTACAAAACATACTTTCTATGCATTTGAACTTACCATTTGGCATTGTTAAAACCTACTAAATAAGCATAGTACAAATTATGTCCTCCTTGAAGGGTTTTATTCCCTTTGAATAATGTGCTTTGTTCCCCCATAATTAGGTTTTCAAATTTTCTTATAATAAAATTTAAATTATAATTATTTAGTTTAAGCTTGAACCCTTAATTTAATTTCAATATTAATTTAAAATTAATATTTAACTCTCAACTCTTGTCTAATAAACACTTAAAATTTCATATTACAATGGCATAAATGTAATTATAACTAAAATTGGGATTAATTTCTAAAAGATTAGCACCAATTATTAATTAAAGCTCCCTAAAGTGGTGATGTTAAAATAATTAATTAATTAATTAATTAAAGTCTTTGTCAAATTCCCCACCACACCAAATGTCGAGTTAAGAACTCACTCTCTCTCCCAAACTAATCACAAAATTTTTGAAGTTTAAAAGAAGAAAAAAAATTAATTTTGTTTTTGTGGAGACCAATAAATAATTAAAGCAAATTAGTGGGTAATTTTTAATTAATTATGTATTAATCACAAATTGTAAGGGCATTAAATATTAATTTAATGGGTAATTAAGCTACTAATCAATATATGTAATGATGCATCTCTTTGGCCCTCTTGCCTTTTCCTCTTCATGAGTAATTTTTTTAATGTAAAAGTAAATATATTGTCAAATTAATAATAGATATTAAAATAATTACGGGTTTCGACACCGTTCTGTTGGGTCTCGAACTTACTCTTGTTTTACCTGTTCTGAAAGGTAAAGAAGAATGAACGATAACGTGTTCGGTAAGATCAATTTAATCGCTTAACTATGTTTTAAGTCGAAACATCTATTTAAAGCCATATATACTAATTGCTTTATCTGAAAGTCAAGAAATCTATTCAATTCTACGACGACGTTATTATATATCTCGTGTGATTTTGTTATTTTTTTAAGAAAAAATATTTAGATCGAGTTTTAAACTTGTTTTGATTATCCAAGTAAAAAAAATTTAATTACATTAAAATATATTTATTTTACTTAAAAATATAATAAATTCGTTGAAAGTCAAACTGACGTAGTGAGTACAATTTCATCGGTTCTATTAAATTATACATCATTGGTTGTCACTATTAATATATAATACGCTTACAAAAATAATAAATTTTATAATTCTATTAAAATTTTAACTCGTAATTTTTAAATATATTATAAAAATCTTATCCAATGTGTAAATATTATCTAATTAGAACAAGATATTAAAAATCACTTAAAAGTATGATGCAAAACAGAATAATGTAACCTTGACTCTGAAAAAGAAAGAAACAATAATATAAATATAATTTACATTATATATATATATATATGTATATATATATATATATAATATTTGATTGGCCATGGAAGCAGCAGAAACTCACAATGATACCTCTGCTGCTGGCAAGAAAGCAGCAGCAAATAATGCAGTTATTTGGGCACTCATCAGATTTTTATGTTGCCCATCTCTCTTCAAAAATAATATTAATTTAATAAATGTAAGTATATATTACATTAAAAATTTTAGTTTTGAATTTTATCTAATGCACAATAAATATATATTATATCATTTTTTTATAGAAGATATTTAACACTTCAATCTCTGTTTAATGTAATTCTTTTGAATTTGATCCAATATGAATATATATATATATATATTTTGTTAAAGTACTAATATGAATCGAGCCAAGTTCGAGTTGATAGGAACAGTTGGTGGGTAATGATAGATTCGAGTCTAATTTTCTAAAATCTATTCAAATGCGACCACTATATGCTTTCTTGACTTTAAAAAATCTAGTTAATTAAAATTTAATTAAAAAATTAAGTGCCAATCGAACTAAAATAATTTAAAGTAAAATTTAAACATAATTTAATTAATTATAAATGTAGAAAATTAAATATTTATTAATCGAAATTTGATTAATTTGAGTGAATTTAAAAATAAAAATAAAATATTAATATTTAATATTAGTAAGATTACTGTGACGATAGAAGTACTTTTTGAAAAGAAAATTTTGTTAGTTATATCTAAGTATAAAGATTCAAAAGACCAACTTCTATTAAGTAACTTTAGATTTATTGAAAAATATTGAAGGTATTAAGAATGATATATTTACGTACTTGAATAATATCTATAGTTTTGAAGATTTTTCCAAAGGAAATC